CTAATTAATAATTAATGGTGACCACAAACTAAGCTAATGTATTTGAGTTTGTCAAAGTGAATGCTCAGAGATTAATTTACCAAATATGTTTAAAATAAAAGCAAAATATTTTAAAACAGGAAATGTGTTTCAGTTTTCGAACTGGTTAATACTCACATCAAATCCACCAGGCGATCTGCAGTAATTGGTGTTTGTAAGCACTGTACTGCTCGATCCGCACTCGCTATCTTTCAGCGAAACCGTTGATCTATCCAACTTGATTGACCACGGGAACTGGGAATTTTGCGGGGTGGCTCCGACGTGCGACGACGACCGCTGCATCCGCACCGCTCTCGGTGCATTCCTCCCTTCCACCGATGCTCTTCGCCGGCCGCTGGGCTGCCTCTCGTACGAATCTGGCCTCGATTTCGGTGCACTCTGCGACCTGGCTTTAGCCAGGGAAGATTCCGTATTCGCCATGTAATTCGGGTACAACGGGTAATCGTAGGACATGGGTTCGGCGTAATCGGGCGGTGGGAATGCGAGGGGGAGTCTTGACGGGTCCGGTTTGGGGGTGGAAGAGTAGTATTGCGGACTGCTCTGCGCCGCGCTAAAAGAACATTCGTCGAAATGGCCGCCGTAGGCGCTGGAGCTCATGTCGGTAAGAACTGACGGCGCCGGAGATATTTGGGACTGGTTATCCTGCCTCGAGGATCCCTGATTTGAATAATGGGTGGAGAATCGGTGCTCTGTTTGGGTATGGTTTGCAGTTGAATACCTGTTTCTGCTCTTGGAATTTGATTTTGATTCAGCAAAATCCATCTCTACAGTCTTGATGTCCTCCTCCATGCCTCTGTCGATGTCCTGCAAGTATGAACCAATGTATGTGTCAAAAATCAACAAATTGAGAAGTGATAATTTGAGACTGTGGTTGAAGGAATTGAAGCTTACATGGTAATTGTACCGGTAACGGTGATCCTGCGTAGACTTTCTGTGGCCTGATTGCCTCTGACTAACAGGGTTGGATTCTTCAGCCATCCTGATCCTCTGAGCTCGAGCTCTGGCCTGTGCCGTCAACAATGCCTGCATGCACCGGAGAGTTGCTGTTGCCTGTTTCCTAACCAGGTGACCTCGCACCAGCGCCTGCAGCTTCACTAGCCCCTTCAATGCCCTCAATGCTTTTCTTGCCTGAAATAGAATTCCAATAAAAATAAACATATTTTCTTTCTGTTTGAATGTATTAGGCAATTCAGGATGATGAACATACCAAATATGCCCTGTAGGCCGACTGGATTTTTATTGCAGCAGCTTCCTCAAGCTCAACCGCGCTGCCTCTGCCATTGGCAGCTGCAGTCAACCGGATCACAGTAGCTGCAGCCTGTGCAGCTACCACCGCAGCATCCGCAGCTGCAGCAGTGGCTGCTACCACTGCCATGGCATGCTTTTTCTGCGCATCTTCCATGTCCAATGCTGACGCTGGAACAACAGCCTGTTCTGTAGCATTCGAGTCCTTTGGAGCTGCTGTGGCTGAAGATCTCCGGAAACTCCATCTCCTTTTCTCCTTGGGAGTTCCAGGCAACACCGAAATCGGAGTTGATGGATTCTCTGGGGCAACAGAGGAACTCTGATTACTGGAGCATTTTTCCTTTTGCTTTTCCTTATCCTTTTTCCCTGTTAACAAGTGTTTAAGCCATTTTCCTGTCTTCCCCATCTCTGTCAAATCCTCTTAGGCCACCATTGTAGAGAGAACACAGAGGAAAGACAAAAAGAAGTAATGGTTTAGATCTGCTCTGCCTTTACAGGATAAGTGACCATCAATACTGTCATTGGCTTACTTAATAGGCCATATCTTAATTCCATTTTTTCTTTCTTTGACAGCCAAATCTTATTCTTTGGTTTTTCCTTACAAATTTGTACCTAACATTTTCATGGTCGGTGTATTATAGGGATTAGGTTGGGTTAGATGTATCTAGTCAGTGTCTTATAGGGATTAGATTATATTAGTCTGGATGATGAGAATGAGGGAATGAGTGAAGCTCTAGCTGTGATTGCTATACCCATCTTGTCCCCACACGTGATATAATTTCTCATAAAGTAATAAGGGGTTCAATGGTAATTTTGTGATGGGTCATGTGACATGGGAGTCTCAGAACCCATGTGAACATGGGCCAACAACATGGAGAATCCGTGTAAAATACTCATTTTTCAGAGTAACAGAGCTAAGAACCGTCCACTTGATGTCAATTTTGGGGGTCATGTGGATCTTAGAATATAGGAACCAATGTGGAGTTGTCGGCTCCATTGGGATACATTCTTTTTATGTTACATGAATTTGGATTTGGATCCACCTTACTATTTGAAGGACCAAAGAGTCATTAGCAATATGGATCAAATACAAGTTAGTTAATTAAAATTAAGGGTAAGTTTGGTTTAAGGGAAGAGGGGGAGAAACAAAGCGAGAGGTGAATTTTTTGAACAATTAGATTGCAATATTTGAAAATATTATAATATAATTAGTTCAAAAACTCATTCCCCTCCTCTTCCCCTATTTTACTCAAACCAAACATTCACTATGTGAAGAATCTATGAAACACATAATATGTCTACATACTTGAAAGTGTAGAGATATGTTTGTGGTTTTTGCACATGCTCAGCAATCCTGCCTACCTTTTCTTGGAGATCTTCTTTTCTCTATCTTTTGGGTCAAGTTTCCTCTGATGGACCCAAGTGTAAGGTCACCTTCTCGATACTAAGACCCTGAAAGAAGTCATCTCAAAATCAGTTCTTTTCCTTTCTATCCTTTTCTTGTGCTACCAAAAAAAATTGTGGGTCCAATGATATTTAAGCCTACCTACTGGATCAGACGCATCAATGTGATCAAAATGAATGAGATTGAGAATTGAGAAAACAGTTGATGGGGAGATAGGGTAGTTTGGAGCCATTGCAGTCTGGATTTGCTTAAAAGTGATAAATGGCTCTAATGGCGAGGACCACAAGTCGCCAGAAACTTTGTTGTTTGATTTATTCGATTTGAAGTGGGTGTTGGGAGAGGAAGAAAATTATGTTGCATTAGTTATGTTCAAGCCTTCAAGGCACTAAAAGCTATTATCAAAAGAACAATATTTTTCACAAGGCTTGAGTTTCAAGCATGTAGATTTCTATCGAGGTGCACAAAAATTGTCTTATAACCTTGCACATTTAATTCACATAAAAAAAAAAGACCATTCATGTGACGTAAGATCACTCATGAATTGTAATTAAACAAACATCCCAGCTTTCTTATCAAGAAAATAAAGTCTCTTTTTAGCAATTACAGATATTGGTACATGAACTTGGAGTAGAAACAGTGAGATTTGGCCTCATCTTTTGTGTCATATATTGAACAATTTGTCTCAACACTAACCTATACAATGGAACAATATCTTTGATTAGATAATAAAAGTATTGTAATTGCACCAAACCAGAAGTCCTTCCTCAGTTCGCGTCCGCACTCTGAATTAACTTGCAAAGCCCCGAGGTTGAACTCGGGGTAGACACTCCGATGCTTAAGTCAGCAATAATCGAGGCTACCTTTAAAGCAGAAATAAAAAGAGCTTAGGGTTGGTTTCAATCACCTTTTTGACGTGGCCCTTGGGGGATATTTATAGGCTCCAGTGAGGAACCCACGTGGCATGCCAAGCAAGATAATCGGAGCCTGACGTGTCTATCCAGACGGTTATTTCGGGACCGAGAATTTGAGAGATATTCAGATGCAAGGATGTCCATCATAATTGTTGTACAACTCATCATAAAGAATCAAGTGTGGGCATGTTCATTGTCACTGTCATGTAGCTGTTTGAGTGGGAAGCTTTGGATTTATCCTTCGCTTCGGTCATAAAGAAATTACTGTAGTAGTCCGAGGTTGGGCACCTCGGACCTGTCCTTACACTATTCCCCCCCCAAAGTCATTTACTTGTGAATGATGATGTTAAAGATAATGGGATAGTGCATAAATAGAAAGGAGGGGGGATAAAAATATTAAATTGAGTTATAGAGGTAAAACTAAGAAACTGTAACTCAAATGTATGTATGGTCGTAGTTAATGGTGAAATGTGTGATAAGGGGCCATGTTGGCCATGCCCAATATAAAATGGGATTGGAGCAATCACGGCCGTAGCTGTGGTAAAAGGATGATCGGAGTCAATGTAAAAAAGCAATAAAAAGTGATAAAAAATAAAAATACTGAATAGAGCCGTAGTAAAAAGTAATGACTAGAGCCATGGTAGCCGGAGCCATAGTAAAAAGTAATGACTAGAGCCATGGTAGCCGGAGTCGTAGTAAAAAGTAATGATCGAAGCCATGGTGGCCAGAGCCGTAGTAAAAAGTAATGACCGGAGTCATGGTGGTCGGAGCCGTGGTAAAATCCTTGACAAGGAGTCATAATGGCGAGAGCCGAAGTGAAACGTGTGACACTGGGTCACTGAGGGCCGGAGCTGAAGCAAAGCATGTGACACTGGGTCATTGTGGCCGGAGCTGAAGTGAAACATGTGATATTGGGTCACTATGGCCGAAGCCCAAGTAAAGCATGTGACACTGGGTCATTATGGCCGGAGCCGAAGTAAAACATGTGATCGGACTTATCAATCCGGTTGCCGAAGTAAAACACTTTGTAAAAATTTAGAATGTGTAAAAGTAAGCAAGAGTGTTGAAATGGGCTTAAGTGGGCCCGTCTAAGAAGTCTGACAAAGAGGCAGTACGTAACGTGACAGTTGCCCTCTGAATAACGTGCGTAATAAATGCGGCTGTAAAAAGATAACTGCAACAGTTAAACGGGCAGATTTTAAAAAATTAACCGTCGAGCTCGAAACGGTGCCGTTTGGGGTTAACCATCGAATTCGAAATGGTGTCTTTGCAGCCATTAGATGGAGTTAATCACAGCCGTTGAGGCGTATTTTGCCTTTAGTATAAAAGGCTATACTTCTGTAAAAAGGGGTTTTTACTCTTGCTATTTTGCTACCAAATTTTTGCTAAATTTCTACGGTTTTGTGCGGTTTGCGCCTCGTTTGAGACTTCAACAACAGTTTCACAAGATTAAAATCAAGTAAAGTTTACGAATTTTTGATTTTTGAATTTTTGATTTTGATTTTGCCGAAGTGTTATTCTCCGTTCTCCCTTTCTGTGTTTGATTTTGGGTCTTTTGAAATAAGTTAGGGTTGGGAGTGAGAATATTATTAAGTGTGCATTAGAATATGTCCTGACTCCATTCCTCTTCCTACTTCGTGCAGAAATTGGGGAGATGTCTTCAGAAAGGACAATGAGTGTAGTAGGGAGTGAGGTGATGCCCTTGGAGTACGGTGGCATGGACTCAGAAAGTAGTCCATCTTCGTCTAGTTTGGAGAGGATAGTGGAGGAAAGAAGGGAGAGGGGGGTAGTGGAAGAGGAGGAAGAAGAAATTCCCTCAAATGTTATGGAGGTTGAGGGTAATGGAGATAGGTGTTATGACCCCGAATTAGACATAGTGTCTGAGGTGAAAAGGTATGTAAGTGAGTTGGGTGGCAGGGGTAGCCTTAGGGTCTCGTAGGTAACTGTAACCTTCCTCACCATGTCTTAATTAGTCCTGCTGGGGGGAATGAGAGAGTGTGCTCAGCACCCCGAGACCACTGGATGCCCATGTACGTTCATTATTTGGTTGCAGGGCTTAGGTTTTCTATTCCAGAATTACTGGTTGGGTTATTGCTAGATTATAGTATAGGAATAACCCAGTTAACTCCAAATGCCATAAGAATAGTAATAGGTTTTATAGTATACTGCCGAGCTCAGGGTGTTGGGGTCCCCACTATAAATATGTTCAAACATTTTTTTATAATAAAAGCTGGGGGTGGGAGTGAGAATTGGTGCTATTACTTCGGTCCTCAGTCGTCCAGCAAAGAGAATAGGAGTTTATTCGCTATTGGACCGTCATCCATCAAAGGATGGAAGAAAAATTCTTCTTTGTGGATGACACTGAGTGGAGTAGGAGGGATGCCGAAGTGGAACAATTGTCTGCTTGGAAAGCAAAGAAAACCAAGCAGAACAATTATAAGTTAAATGAGGATGAGGTGGAGGAGGTAGAGAAGCTGGTGAGGGAGGAAGAAGATGTAGTGGATATCATGTACCTCACCAACTCGAAGGCAATAGAGGCTGCAGAGCTCTATGGGCCAAGCTTATTGAGCGAAGGTTTGTTTGTTTTTGTGTTGTATAACTTACTTGAGGTTTCAGTTAGTGTGTTTTAACACTTGTGTCTATTTTGCAACTGAGATGGACAGTTTTCTAAATGCTACTGGAAGGCTGGCTATCCGTAAGAAGCCAAGGAAGAAGTCAAAGACTTCGAATGTGGCAGACAAGGGGGCAGCAGAGAAAGAACGCCTGTCCAGCACTTCTGCTCGAGCGTTGGAGATACAGCAGAGGCTAGAGCCTGTGAGAAGGAGCAGTGAGGAAGTGAGCGAGGAGGTGGCACCACTTCAGAGGAAGAAGAGAAAGGTGGCAGAACCAAAAGCCAGGGGAGATGAGGTGGTTGAGTTCATGCTTCAGCCTTCTCCTCTTGAAATTGATCCTGAAGTTCGGGAGAGGAAGGAGACCGAGATACGAGGCCCTGGTAAAGGCAAGGAGCTCTTCCCTCAACCTTTGTTCCAGAAGAGTTTGTTCGAAGCAACAAACACTATTTGGGTGAAGCGCTTCCTCAATGCCACGCTTCCTGAGGTGGATATGAGGCAAGCAAGGCAAGAGGCGGTGAGTCATTTGGCGGCTCGCATGGTGAGGCATGCCCTGGAGGTATGTTAAGAAGTTACAGTGTATTTAAGTTTTAATTTTGGATTTTTTGACATCTGCATTTGAGTTTTGACTTCTGCTTGCATTGTAGAGTGCAAGTTGGGTAAATGCTCTAGCGTAGGAGTATGTGGAGAGCGTGAAAGATTGTGCCAGCTTTCAGAGGCAGTGTGAGGCACTGAGAAGGAAAAGGAGGAGTTGCAGAAGGAGAAGGAGGAGCTGCAGAGGAAGAACAAAGAGGTGCAGAGGAAACTAGATGATGTGGTGCCGACAGTAATCGAGCTCCAGAGCGATAGAGAAAGCTTAAGCATAATACTTGTCTTCGAAGAGTGTAAAAGGAAGATCTGTGAAGACAGGCTTGATGCTCAAGACAAGTATATCGAAAAGATGAACCAATGGATGGTGGAGTTGAAAAAGAAGGTGGATCTACTGGTACACAACGGGATGGAAGAGCACATTGGCAACTTCCTCAACTCCAGCATTTTCAAGAACATCATCAACCTCTACCGGCTGCTAACAGCAATTTTGGCCTTCACCAACTGTAGAAAGAAGGTGAAGGCGCAGTACCCGGAGGTGGACGTCACGACGGTCACCTTTGGTGAACAAGAAGAAGGAGTGGAGGAGGATGGTGAGAGTCTCTCTACTGACTTCTGACCTTTGATCAAGCTGAGGTGGGAGCGTGATGCAGAGGAGCACACTATCTTTCTTCCAGCCTTTGATGTTGAGCTGGTGGCCGTAGAAGAAGAGGAAGAAGAGCAAGATGCTAGAGAGGAGAACCAGGCAAACCCATCCGAAGTCTAACCTCCCGTAGTTCATCGAGTTTCTTCTGATGAAGTGCAGCAGCTAGCTCCTCCTAAAGTAGAAGTGCCACCTCTGCCTACTAGGGATGAGCCACCTCCACCGCCCCTTCCTGCTAAGGAGCAGCGTCCTTCCTCAGCAGATTAGCTTAGGATTTTATATTTTTTAGTTATATTTGTAAAGAACATTTTTGTAATTGAGATTTTATTAATTGAAAATTTTTGAAGTCCTTTTTGGTGTTTAGTTTTGATTTTTGATTGCTATTTTGTTTCAAGTAAACCACTTCAGATAAAATAAAGTGATTTTAATTAACACAAGGAATTGACTTCGAATACACATGAGGTGGACCTCAAATATACAAATGAGAAAAGATGAAGTAAATTACTCCAAAGATAAAGTGTAATTGATTACTAAAATTGTAACCCAGAAAGTGAAGTGACTAAATAAGTCACAATGAATTAACTTCAAGAATAAGTGAAATTTACTTCCAACGTACAGAAGGGTAGAAATAACTGAATCACTTCGAATGCGAAGTGAAATTTATTAATGATCTAGATGAATTGATCTCGTACATACATTGAGCAGAACAACAAAGAATAATGACGATTATAAAAATAAGACAAAGTTCACCAGAGAGGAGTGCATTAAGGGTAAAATTTCTTCAAGTTATTGACATTCCAGACTCTAGGAACCCTTTTGCCTTCAATGTCCCATAGGATATAAGCACCTGGGTGCGACACTTCGGCTACAGTGTAGGGGCCTTCCCAATTTGGTGCTAACTTTCTCAATCAAGTTTCAAACCCCGTTAAACCAACTTTCCTGAGAACAAGGTCTCCTATCTTGAATGTTTGGGGTCGAACTCGTTTGTTGTAGAAGTTTGCTATTTTCTGCTTGTAAACTAGAGTTCGAAGTCGTGCTTCCTCTCTGACTTCATCAAGCAGATCAAGGTTTTCATGAAGCAGTTGTCCATTTCGTCCTTCATCGAAATGGGTGACCTTGAAGCTTGGGACTCTTATCTCGATAAGAATGACTGCTTCGGTACCAAAGGTTAAGTGATAGGGTGTTTCACCTATTTCAGTTAATTATAATTTTAGAATGCGCTTTACGCGTTATGCATATTTGATCTAAGGTAAAGCCATAGAAGAGGAAGTAAAATAATATGAAAGTTAATGAAGTAAACCAGGTTTGAAATAATACTTGTGGCAGTTCGGCTCATGGTTCTATATGCCCAAAAGACGTTGTTGAGCTCGTCTGCCCACTTGGCTTTGTGCAGCTCTAACCTTTGTTTTATTCCCTCGAGTATGACTTTGTTGACAGATTCTACCATCCCATTAGATTTCGGGTGGTACACCGAGGTGAACTACAGTTTGATTCCATAGCTGGAGCAAAAATCTCTGAATGAGGAGCAATTGAACTGAGTTCCATTATCAGCCACAATCTGATTTGGTATCCCATATCTGTAAATGATTGAGATGAAAACAAAGTCTTCGACCTTCTTAGAAGTAAGACTGGATAATGGCCGAGCTTCCACCCATTTCGTAAAATAGTCCACATCAACAATCAAATGAGTTACACCTCCTACCCCCTTCATAAATGGACATAAAAGGTCAAGTCCCCACTGAGCAAATGGCCAAGGTGCTATCAGAGTAATGAGCTCTTCTGCAAGCTAGTGAATTAGATGTGCGAAGAACTGACATTTCTGACACCTCTGTACGAACTGGGTAGCATCTTTATACATGTTGGGCCAGTAATATCCTTGTCTAAGGACTTTATGAGCCAAAGTTCAAGCGCCAATGTGACTTCCACAGACACCTTCATGCACCTCCCGAAGTGCGTATTCAGCCTCATAAAGGTTCAAGCAGCAGAGTAGAGGGAGTGAGAAAGATCTCTTATAGAGGACTTCATTAACAAGGGTGTATCGAGATGCTTTTTTCCTCAACCTCATTTCTTCTTGCTTATCCGTAGGCACTATGCCATCTCGTAAAAATGAGATAATTGGATCTGTCTAGCTTGGTGTACTAGGATCTGTGCTGATCTCCATTATCTTTGGCTTTAAGAAGCTAGGCTCGTCTAGAATTTCAACAACGATCGATCTGGAGCTTTGGTTGCCATAAGAAACAAATTTGGAGAGGGAGTCTGCTTGCTCATTTTCAGCCCGAGGTATTTTGCTCAAATGGAATTTCTGGAATTTAGATTTCAGCTCGGCCACCAGAATTGCATACTTTATCATAATAGGATCAACCACTTCACAGACTGAGTTGACCTGATTGACTACTAGCTGTGAATCACTGTATACTTGTATTAATGTAACTTTCAGTTCGATGGCTAATTGTAAGCCAAGTAGCAGAGCCTCATATTCAGCCATGTTGTTAGTGGCATCAAAATTGAATTTCAAAGCGTGTTCACTTCGGTACCCTTCGGGGCTGAGGAGGATTGCACCAAGTCTTGAACCCTTACTACTAGATGCTCCATCAACATACAAAATCCAACTGTCCAGCTCGGGTTGAGAATTAGTGTGAGCCGAGGTGCATTCTACTATAAAATCAGCAAGAGCCTGAGCTCGGATTGTTGACCTCTACTGGAATGTTATCTCAAATTCTCCCAGTTCAACTGCCCATTTGATCAATCTTCCTGAGCATTCTGTAAAATTTGTCTGAGTGGCTGGTCCGTGAGGACTATGATTGGGTGCAACTGGAAATATGGTCTTAGTTTCCTGGCCAAGGTGACAACGGCTAAGGCTGCTTTCTCAGCAATAGAGTATCTCATTTTCGCTCCGTGTAACACACTACTGGTGTAATAAACTGGCTTCTGCTGCTTCCCCTCTTCCCTCACTAGCACAGAACTGATGGCTTCATCTGATATGCTGAGGTACAAGTAAAGGATTTCTCCATCATTGGCTTTTGTCAGCAAAGGGGGTGAGCTAAGATAAGACTTCAGCTCGTCAAATGCAGCTTGGCATTCTGAATTCCATTCGAACTTCTTTTGTTTACCAGATTCATCCTTTTGGGCTGCCAATCTCATGATCTTGAAGAATGGTAGGTATTTATCTGCTGATTTTGAGATAAATCTATGAAGAGTTGCCACTCTCCCTATCAACCTCTATACATCTTTTATTGACTTCAATGGTTCCATCTCGGCCATTGCATTGATCTTCTCAGGGTTAACCTCAATTCCCCTTCTAGACACCATGAAACCTAGAAATTTTCCAAACTCCACACCGAAGATGCATTTTGCTAGGTTCAACCTCATTCTGTTCTTTCTGAGATTGTTGAATGTCTCCTCGAGGTCAATTAAATGATCTTCAGCTTTCAAACTCTTCACCACTATGTCATCAATATAAACTTCCAGATTCCGGCCTATTTGAGCTCGGAACACGATGGTAACCATCTTCTGGTAAGTGGCACCTACGTTCTTCAAGCCGAAGGGCATCATCACATAACAATAGATTTCATCACTAGCATAGAACGATGTTTTTTCTTCATCCTCAAGAGCCATTGGAACCTGGTGGTAGTCAGAATATGCATCCAAGAGGCTTAATCTCTCGTTTCCAGAAGCTACCTCAACCAGCTTATTGATGTTTGGCAATGGGTAACAGTCTTTTGGACATGCTTGGTTGAGGTTAGTGTAATCGATACACATCCGCCATTTGCCATTCGCCTTCTTCACCAACACAAGATTGGTGATCCATTCACAGTAATCGACCCGTCTGACGAAGCCAGCTTGTAAGAGCTTTTCAACTTCTTCTTTGATGACCTTTAACCCCTCCCCCCAAAAGAGGCGTCGCTTCTGAGCCACTAGTTTCTTGAGTGGATTAGTGTTGAGTTTGTGTTGCGATACCGAGGTGGGAATTCTCGGCATGTCTGCTGAGGTCCATGCAAAAACATCTCTGTTGGCTTGGAGAAAGGTTATCAGCTCTGTTCTCTCCTTAGGCTTCAATTAAGTTCCTATCTGTGTTTTCCTATTTGGATATGTTTCATCAATTTGTACCTCCTCAACATCTTCACCCTGAGCAGCTCGAGTTTCATCCTCAGGTCAGTTATCAAGAATTCCAACCCCCATCACTTGTCGATTATCATGGGTTCCGATGGCGGGTTCTCTACTGGTTGATCCTTGTTTTTCTGTGGTCTTGTAACCGAAGTGAGATAGCAGTGTCTGGCCACTTCCTGGTTACCTCTGAGTGTTGCAATTCCTATGGGGGTTAGAAACTTCATGCAGAGATGAGATTGAGAGATCACAGCTTGGATCTCCGTTAATGTGGGTCGGTTAATGACAACGTTGAAAGAGGAAGGCATCTTGACCACCAGAAACCAAACTGAAGAAGTCACATAGGTCCAACCGCTTCTAAAGGCAACATTCATAGTTAGGACCCCTTTGACTGGAACTGGTTGGTTATTGAAGCCATATATAGGACCATCATAACGCTATAGTAGAGCTGGGTCGAGCTCTAAGCTCTCAAAACAGTGATAATACATGATGTCAGGTGCACTGCCAGTATCAACAAGTACACGCTAGACTTGACAATTATTGATCATTACTGAGATAACCAAAGGGTCATTGTGAAGTGTTACCACCCCTTCAAAATCAGCAATTGCAAAAGTGATCGGTTGATCTTTCCAGTCAGCATCATCAAATTTCCTTTTCTGAGCTCGGTTCTGGTGCTTGACCTCTCTGACATATAACTTCCTTTGCTTGGAGCTCATCCCCCCGGCTTCCAATCCTCCTGTAATCATGTGTATAATTCTAGCTAGTGGTGGAAGTGGAGGTTGGGCTTGTGGATGCCCTACTCCTTGTCTGTTTGGTGGATTACGGATTCCTTGTTGATGCCCTACTCCTTGGGGCTGTATCCCCTGTTCTCTGACAAATCTTTACTACTCAGCTCTCTGAATGTATTCATTTAACATTCCTTTCTGGGCAAGACTTTCCAGCTCGGACCTCAGGCTGTTGCACTGCTCTGTTGTATGACCGTGATCTTGATGAAAATCACAATATATAGTATGGTCTCGGCTAGCAGCAGCAGTTCTCATTGGACCCGGACGCCTTAAATCCATCTTGTTCTTAATCTGCATGAAAATCTGTGACATTGGCAAGTTAAAAGGGGTCCAAGCAACTGGGGGTTTACCTGTAGACTGTTGTGGGGGTGCTAAGTTCGGCCTTCCGAATCTTGGTGTGGAGGTCGACATCGGACCTCGGTTTTGTTCTGGCCGCATCCGTTTCCTACTCGAATTCTCCTCCCTCCAGTCTAGGTTTTGGTTCTTAGGGGGAATTGGGTTCTACTACAGGGCATATTCCTCAGCAATTATGAATTTCAGAGATCTATCATTCACCTCGCTAAAGGTGGTGGCAGGATGCTTAAGCAAACTATCTCTGAATCAATCATGTTTAAGACCTCATATTACAGCTGCAATTCCTACAGCCTGGTCGAAGGAGCTAACTTCCAGTACCGCATCATTGAATCTGCTCATAAAATTCTTCAAAGATTCTCCATCCCTCTGTTTAACTCGCATCAACTCAGAAGTAGTTTTCCTAATCAACCTTCTACTGGAAAACTTTGTGGCAAAAGTAGATGTCATTTCTGTATAAAAGCTGATTAACCTCGGGGGCAGACTGTAATACCAGGTTCGAGCATTACCTCGGAGAGTAGAGGGAAAGATTTTACACATCAATGCGTCAAAGGCGTTCTAAGCTTGCATGCAAGAGTAGAAAGCATGTAGGTGATCATCGGGATCCTTCGTTCCATCGTAAGTCTCAAGTTGAGGTATTTTGAAGCCAGCAGGGTAGGGTTCCAGTGTGATGTTGGTGTTTAGAGGGTGGGGTATGGAGTCAGTAGCATGGAGTGGGGGTGGGGCACCTCGCTATTTAGCTACTAGCTTTTCTAAGCTGTTTAGACGTTGAGTGACATCATTAGGGAGGGGTTGTTGAGCTGGTGCTATGTGAGACTGACCCTGAGATTCACTAAGAGCAGAAGCATGCTGAACTGGTTCAGGGTTTTGTTGTGGAGGTGGGGGTTGTGGAGTAGGGTTAAGTAAATTGATGAGGGGATCACCAGGGTTGTTCCGGGCTAAGAGCTGAGCCAGTACTAGCTGAAAGACACCAAACTGTTGTTGCATGGCAACAAGCTGAGCTACAACTACGTCTTATTTGGCAGCAGAAGCTAAGTTGTGAGTTGAGTTATGTGGTTGGTTTTCATCTCCTCCTTCTGCATGATCACCAAGAAGGAACGTAGTTGGGATCGGAGGTGGGAGGTGAGGTGGAAGGTTGCTAGGGACCTGACCTCATCCAAGAGGCTGAGATGAGTTTCCAACACGAACTAATCGAGTGTTAACCATGATGAGAGCAACAAGGGAGCTTTCAGTTCGATTTCCCACAGACGGCGCCAAATGTAATTGCACCAAACCAGAAGTCCTTCCTCAGTCCGCGTCCGCACTCTGGATTAACCTGCAAAGCCTCGAGGCTGAACTCGGGGTAAACACTCTGATGCTTAAGTCAGCAATAATCAGGGCTACCTTTAGAGCAGAGATAAAAGGAGCTTAGGGTTGGTTTCAATCACCTTTTTGACGTGGCCCTTGGGGGGTATTTATAGGCTCTAGTAAGGAACCCACGTGGCATTCCAAGCAAGATAATCGGAGCCTGACGTGTCTATCCAGATGGTTATTTTGGGACTGGGAATTTGAGAGATATTCAGATGCAAGGATGTCCATCATAATTGCTGTACAGCTCATCATAAAGAATTAGGTGTGGGCATGTTCATTGTCACTGTCATCAGCTGTTTGACCAGGAAACTTTGGAGTTATCTTTCACTTCGGTCATAAAGGAATTATTGTAGTAGTCTGAGGTTGGGTACCTCGGACCTGTCCTTACAAGTACGTATTTAGTTGGCAATCACATGGTATGTTTACCTGCTCCCTTATGAGTCAGTGTTTTGACTTGGTGTTCCGGTTCCAGGAAAACACCGTCGTTTTATCTTCTCTTTGTATCTCTCTTGGATCTAGAAATACGAAATAAAAAGTATATAGAGAAGTGAAATATAGTCCGTCATTTTGTATTCTCTTTGTCTGAGTGGATTTGCATAATTGGATTGTTCTGATTAATTTTGTTGGCCACAATTCACACCAATTAACTTATTTTAAGTTTAAAATCTGTCTTTCTTCATAAAGCAAAGATATATAAAACATTCTAGACTTCCAACTTAATTGCAACATAATAACATCCACACGGTACAAGGTGGTATGGGCTAGCTTGTACTCAATGATTGTACAAGAACTAAGAGTTATTCAAGTCTAGAGGACTAAAATGACTACGAAGTCTTACGCATGCAAGAACGATGTAAATATAGATTGACTACAAACTATGTACAAGAATAGGATTGCCGTTAAAAAGCTTCAACAACTTGATATCTTGAATAACACCAGATCTTGAAAGTAGTCACTAGCTTGGAATGATAATGATCAACGAAATAAAGTGACCTTAGCCAATGAGGGTTGATGCAGAGAAGGGACACCATTAACAGAAAGAAAACCAAATATGCTGGCCAAAAACTTGCAAGAAAAGCAGTAAGATCAATTTCATACCATTTCCCTTTAGTTGCATCCGATGGTGATGATTTTAAACTCGGTGTCTCAATATCATTGATGCAGCTTTTCTCTAAAGGCGGCCCGCAAAGAAACTGGTTTCCTTCATAGCTGCTCTTGTCAAACGTTGTAAGCTGTGGTTTCATCATTGGAAGTGGAATCTCTCCAGATAAGTTGTTGTATGAGACATTGAAGACTGCCAAGAAGCTTAGATTGGCTAACTCTGGAGGGATTTTACCGATTAGATTGTTGCAGCAAAGGTCCAAGCTTTCAATATTTGCTAGCTTTGACAAAGGAATCGGAATATGACCCATCAACTGGTTATGAGATAAGTTTAAAGCATGAATATGTGTGAGTGTTCCGAGCTCTTGAGGGATTTCTCCGGTTAGATCATTACAGGAGATGTCTAGAGCAGACATGAAATTTAGTGTTTTACCTTTGTAAGAACTCCCTATGTTTTTATTAACCAAATAAATCTCACTTACTCCTATAGCCTCAACATCTATGAAGAAGTTCAGATTTTTCTTCAAGAGATCTCCATACATGCGATTTTGATCAGTGAACAAGATGTCATATGAGATTAGATGTTGTGCAAGAGTTTCACCATAATTCTCTATCACCCCAAAGGATAAGTTTTGTAAACAGGAAGGTATTGTTCCAGAGAATGAGTTGCTAGAAAGATCCATTTTGTTTATATTTTCCAATAAACACAATGCCTCTGGAATCAAACCCTTGAAATGATTATTTCCCAACAAAAGAATTTTCAGATTTAAAAACGTACCAATTAGGTCAGGAATGAAGCCGGACAAGCTGTTATCTTTGAGATTCAACACAGAGAGGCTACTTGAAGAATTAGGAAGAAAATCTTGCAATAATCCTGTGAACTTGTTTCCTTCTAAATGAATCTCAACTATGGTGGTGAAATCAATGCAGGAGGGTAAAGGACCGGAAAGAAAATTATGAGAGAGGTCCAGAAAAAACAATGGGGACATAAGTTGTTGGCATGGAAATTGGCCCTCAAAAGAGTTATTCCTCATTGAAATTGCCCAGCTCACTGTATTGATCCAAGTGGGAATTGGACCTGTCATGTTGTTGTTGCTAACATCTAATATGGCTAATGTCTCAATCTTCACATTTGATAGGTTTCCAGTGAATTCATTATTGTTTAGCTCTAGCCGCATCAAATTACTCAAGTTGAATTCAGATGAAAAGAATTTGCCACCAAGTTTATTGTGCGATAATAACAATTGTTGCAAATTGGTACAACTTGTAAGCAGCTCTTTAGGTACTTCTCCTAGGAAATTATTGAAGGCCAAATCCAACCCAAACAAATCTTGCATGCTTCCCAGACTACTTGGGAGAGCACCTCCAAGTTGATTCCAAGACAAATTAAGATACTGTAAGTTAGGAAGTTTGTCCCCAATATCCTTAGGTAACTTCCCAATAAAATGATTGTTTGAGAGATCCAACCAAACCATATGCATTTGATATGATGGCAAATAGATTAATTGACCAGCAAAAGAGTTATTCCTGAGATTCATAAATTTGAGGTTAGAATTGTTTTGCATCAGCCAAACAGGAAATTCTCCTTTCAACTTGTTGTGAGAGAGATCAATTACTCTCAACCATCGTTGGTGGAAAAGAAACTCTGGAATACTGCTTATACTCAAATCAGAGAGTACCAATGCCTTAAGTTGAAACATCGGATTGGACCAACCAAGACTTTGAGCATCAATTTGTAGTTTATCTTTGTAACCTGTGAGCATGAATACCTCAAGCTTGGAATAATTTCCAATATAGCTAAAGGAGTATAAGCCTTGGAAATTGTTGTGACGAAGATCAATGAATTCAAGGGATGATGGTAATCTTTGTAACAAATATGAGGAAAGGTTTCCGGTGAAAAGGTTGTCAGAGATATCTAAAAGTTTGAGAGACGTCATATTGTTTAGGCATGGAGGAAGTGTCCCTTCAAAACTATTTTGGCTGAGATCCAACTCTTGAAGCCTTTTTAAACCACACAATCCTGCCACAAAAGACATAACTTATTACTAAGAATCTATATTGGCCTTTTTTTCATTTGTCAAAAATTTTACTCAAAATGAATAAATCAACTAGACTAAAATGTAGTCATAATAAAGTTGAAAAGCCAAACTATAAGGTTTTGGAAATGAAATAATAGAGGCAAAAGTCAAGAACTAATCATGGCACTAGCATTTATCCTTATAGTTTGAGCAAAGACTCATATACACCGTCGAAGTTGATTAGGAGAAATTAATTCTTCCTTGTCAAAAATAGAAAACAAACCCAATTAAAGTTGCATCTAATGTTCAAATCTCTTATTCAATCCTATAATTGCACGCAAGGTTGTTAAAATCGTGATTTTATCTACCTAAACTCATTTTAGTTAGATAAAATCAAAATCGTAAAATCGAATCAATAAAATTGAGAGTTTACTAAATTTAATAAATAAATAATAATAATTTATACTTTTATATTAATATAACTAAAATTCAACAATAAAATTTAGTTCATTTTCATTCTAAAAATGCAATCCTTTTCTCCCTAGCGTTTCTTCCGTACACTGCTTTTAGGGTTGAGAGCAGTGGTGGCGGCTTGGGTTGGGAGCAGTGGCGACGGTTTTTCCCGAAGGTTTCTCTTCGGCATAGGAGTCCTTCATCCGTTCTTTCTTCTTACCCCTCCCTTCCTCCTCTTGATCTCCTCCTTCCTCTTGTTGCTGTCTTGCTTTGGAAACTCCAACCCAAGGGACCACAAGGTAGCGACGTTTTGGGTTTTCTAGAGTTTACATTTGTTGATTTTCGAAGGCTGCGATTAGAATTGATCTTGCTGGTGAAGTGGGTTTCTTTTATTTAACGAGCAAGAATCTCGCTTTGGTACATCTCCACGGATGGGATCTTGGTGGGGGTTGAATTTTGTGAATCTGGTTCACACCAGCTCCTGATCAACTAGCCAATTGCTGAAGGAAAAGGATGCTATTAGTAAGGCCGGCTATGGTCTGTGTGGGAAGCTTGATTTTCAAGTCAGCAAAAGGGCCCTAGTTTCCTTAATGAGTTTCAACAGCATGGGTTTAAAGAGGATCGACAAAGATGGGAACATGATTGGGAGTATATGAAGGCAACTGGGGGGCCTTGTGCTTGTCAGGAAAAGGCCCATACCCCTCTTGGTTGTTTTTCTTCAAGAACAAGTAAGGCAGCAACTTGTGGGTTGAGACTATTTGTTGCTGGAATCCCTTGCTCTCCCCAAGAAGCTGGTTAAATAGGTGAGGATGTCCAGTAGTTCTTAATGCTCATAGTGACTCCCATTTCTATATTAGTAATCCTATTTAACTCATATAACGATTGTAAATTCAATTCCTAGTTGCAGATCGCTCTTTTTGCTTAATTGTCTATATCCGTCATGAGCATAGTTTAAGTTTGTTACTAGTGCTGTAGGTCATGCTTTTGAATTTATCCTAAGGTTATTTTGATTTTGGCTATATATCATGAGATGGAGATTCTGTTTAATTTCTTATTACTTAATATATTTCTCTATTTCCCATAAAAAAAATTCAACAATAAAAAATCAAGGTTAAATGCTAAATTTGGTCCCTCAACTTTATAGAGTTGCACTTTTTTGGTCCCTCAACAATTTTTTGCACTTTTTTGATCCCTCAACTCTAAGGAATGCACAATGTTGGTCCTTCCGTTAATTAAGCATGACGTGGCTATTAAATAATATCATGTTGCATTTTCTTTTAATTCTTTTGATGATGTGGCAATATCATATATTATAATTATATTACATAAATAAATAAAAATGCCACATCAAATTAATATTTGTATTTTAATTAAAAAAAATTAAAACAAACAAAATTACCTTATTACCCTCCTTCTTCCCCTTCTTTCTTTCTCTTTCTCTTTCTTTCTTTCCTACCCACCGAACCCAGATAGAACCCAACAGTTGGGTTCGATGGAACCCAAATCAATTGGGTTCCGTTGAACCCACCTGTTGCGTTCAGTCAAAACCCAGCTGCCCTCCTTCTTCCCCTTCTTTCTTTCTCTTTCTCTTTCTTTCTTTCCTACCCATCAAACCCAGATAGAACCTAGCAGCTGGGTTCGATAGAACCTAGATCAACTGGGTTCCGTTGAACCCAGCTGCTAAGTTCCATTGAACCCAGCTGTTGGGTTCGATCGAAACCCAGCACATACTTTTTTATCATTTTTGCCAAGTTGTTAGATCCAGAGGCTTCTTGGGGCAAGGTTTGTTGATTTTGAACTTCCTCATCATGGGATTCTCTTCTTTGATTGATTCCTTTTGTTTGACTATGTTCCAAGCTTTGGTAATGGGTTTCATTTTTTGCCTGTTTTTGGATACGTTAGTAGTTGCCGTAGAATGGTTGTTTTTGATACTTAATTCATGCTCTTTTCCATGATAATCCATTGATGGGTTCACTAATTTTGTGTTGAAATTAGTTTTTGGTAGATAATCATGTGTGAATTGGACTTTGTATTGGTATAATTTAAATTACGAATTTTTTTGTTATTATTATTATTATTATTATTTGGGGGATAGGATCAATTGGGAGATGTTTTGCATTGGATTCGGCAAGTGGTAGCTCTTGTATGCAGTTTGCTATGGGGTGCAATACCTTTGGTTGGGTATCGACGAACCCAACAAACCTAGTTGTTCAATGAAATTCAGCTCTATTGATTTACAATTTGATTGTATTTTTATTAGAATTTGATTAGGGTTTGATTGATATTGTTTATTGAGGAATTAATTTGATGGAGTGGAGATGAGAGAATATTAAGAGAAGAAGAAGAAAGGTTAAATGCTATATTTGGTCCCTCAACTTTAGTGAGTTGCACATTTTAGTCCCTCAATAATTTTTTGCACTTTTTTTATCCCTTAACTATACGAAATGTACTCCGTTAATTCTTCTGTTAATTTGGGCTGTTAACTCGCTCATGTGGCATTTTTTATAATTTATTTTATGACGTGGCAAAAATAATTTTAAAAAATGTTGATCTGAAATTTTTTTTAAGCCACGTTAGTGCCAACTCACTGCCCACTCATCAACTAATTTTGCCTTAATAAAAAAATAAAAAATTACAAATTTACCCTTCTCCCTTTTTTGATCCATCTTCTTCCCCTCTTTCGATCATCTTCTTCCTTTCTTCTTTTTCTTTTTCTTTCTTCCTCTTCTTTCTTCCTCTTCTTCCTCTATGTTTGTTGGGTTCGGTGGAACCCAGCAACTGCGTTCGAGGAACCCCGCAAACTGGGTTCGAGGAACCCAGATCTGCTGGGTTCGGTGGAACCCAGTTCTGGGTTCGGTGAACCCAACTCCACTTTTTTGTTTTTTTGTTTTTTGTTATATGTTGATTTGCGTAGAGATTATCTAAGACATTATATGTTTGTTATATGTTTGTTATATGTTTGTTATATGTTCAAAATGGAAATGGAAAGAATAGAAGCAGTTGGACAATGAAGCAATTCTTAGTGGGTTTTCATTTGTTTGGCTAGAAAATGGTATAGTTTGGGTGTTTGGATGCTGAGAAAATGCTTTGAATTTGTTTGGTTGGCGAGATTGGTTACTGAGAAACTATCATGTTCATGAAAGAAAGAAAATTTGATGAGAAAATGGTGATTTAATTATAAATTAATTTA